AAGATGTGCACTGAGAAAGGGAAAAAAAGAGTAATTGATGGGATCAGACACCATAGGGACTGATATGAAGAGGGCAGATGTGAGATTTAATCATCTTTTCTCTCAATGAAAGCCTATCAGTTAGGATTAGTCTCAAGTACACATATTAAAAGTCAAAATAATTATACTTTATAGAAGATAGAAAATGTTTCCCATATTATAAACAAGTGTAAGGTATGTGTTCCTGTGACACAAGTTCCCTTTTATCTTTTTGCTCTTCACGTTTTTCAGGTTGTCTTATTGTTTATGTTGTTGCTGGAAGTGCAGTCACCTCAAAAGTAGTCTAGGAATGATAAAAGGCAGAAAGAACAAAAAGGACCTCCCAACTAAGCCTGCTCCTTTCTTTTTTTAATTTTATAATAGTTTATTTTTACATATTTTTGTGCATTTTTACATCTCAGTTGCAATCCCCTTGGGTTTCCCATCACCAAATCACCCATGTGCCATCACCATAGTCTAAGCCTGCTCTTTTAAGGTACATTCCAGAAACCCTCACCCAATAGCTTCTAATTCCTACTTTTTTTTTTATTTGCTTCTTCTGGCTATAAGAAGGGCTGAAAACTAAACTCTCTAGCCTTTTGTTTCTGTAAGAGTAATGTTCTGTTAGTAAGGAAGACATTGGATGCTGGGTAGGTAAGACATTTGCCCCAAGAAGAAAGAAAGTGCAAGGATTTGCAGATGTAGATGTATATTTTGATGCAAGAAAAGAAAATTGAATGAGTTAATGTTCAACAGATTTGGCATTTTGAACTTCTGTGACAAGTTCATCATCAGAGATAAAAGGTATTTGCTGAAATCCTGAGAAGAATGGTGGATTTCTTCTCAGGGAGAAATGGGAGACAATGGCAGCTAGAATAGAAAATGTTGCCATTCTCAGGGCTTAGCAGGAGTTAAGGATCATTAATTTGTCCTGGTGTAAAGCTGAATAGCTGTGGGATTTACTGTTGCAGGGGTCAGCACATATAAGAACGTGGCTAAATTCATTTGTTATATGTCTGCTGGGCATGGGGATTGCAGGAACTCAGAAATTTCAAAGAAAAAATATTTTGGAGAAATCAATAATAAAGGCCTAGAAATGTTGTGGGATTTTTATTCAGATCTTGAAATGCAGGCATCCATTTATTGGATGAGATGGTAAGGAAGGGTAAAAGAAAAAGAACAGTAAAGGAGACAGAACCAGATGTGGGGATGGACAAGATGTGGAGAGCTAAGTGAACTAATTTGACTGAGTGGGAGGCTGATACAAGGCAGTAATAGAAGGAGGATGTTGAAAGGGCACCTCTATCTGATAAAGATTAGATAAATCTTTGGGCTTGAATTCTAAGCTGTGTCTTCAAAGCAATGAGGATCTGTTGAAGGTTATTATGCAGGATAGAGATTTAAGATTAATGTGGTGGCAGTTTGCTATAAGGATGGGAGAGAGAGTTGCTGTAGGCAGGAAAACCGGTTTATGAGGCTGGCAAAGGAACCCACTCTTCAGGAACCAATGAGAGAGGAGGGAAGGGAACCTGGAGGCAGTGCTTAGAAAGCAGCTCTCTCCTCTTTTCACATTGCAGAATTTTTTGCTTTCATTTGTGATGTATTTTCATATATTTATCCCACCCCAGTGGCTTTTCTTTCCTTTTCATCCCCTACTCTCCCCTCTGTTTTGCTTTCCCTCCCTTCTGCCCTCGTCCTTCAACAATTATCTTATTACCTGTATATGGATATTGTGCAAGGCACTGAAGTTTCAGAAAAGGAAATTTTATTCTCCTGGGGAAAGCAAGTAAGTAAGGAATCAAATGGAATCAATAAGCAATGATGAACGTGCCACGTTTTAGGGGTGCACAAAGTAGGGACACCTCTAATATATTAAGGGGGGAAGGTGCCTCGTGAACCCAAACTAGAAAATTGCATGGAAGTTACAGGAGAGCAGGCAGTGAGGGAAGCAATGGTGCAGCAGGGAAGTGGCCAGCAGGCCTCAGGAGCTGTCAATGTCCATGTGAACATGTGTGCCAGGACAGCTTGTAGGAGAGAAGGCTCGAGGTGTTAGGGACATTATAGGGCATCATGTATTGCATTAAAGAGCTTGGGTTTTAGTTGAAATGCGTTGGAGGTACTTGAAGAATTTTAGAAAAATGACATTTTTTGTTGTTAGAGTCTTTGAATATGAGGGGTTACCATCTCAGACTCAGTGAGACTGGGAGCGGGGGTCAACTACATGACCACTGTGTGACCTTGAGCAAGTCACTTAATGACTCTAAGCATCAGTTTCTTTTTCTCTAAACCTGACACAAAACAAAAACTACCTTCCTTATAGCTATTTTTTTCATTTGGTGAGAATTGAATGATATATTATTTACAACATTCTTAACACAAATGCCTGACACACAGAAAGGCTCCATCGTGCCTAAGTATTCTTGCTAGAGTTCTTATCATTGTCCCTGTTATAAAAGTTGTTCTGTAAGTGGTGTGTAAGGTGAGTTAGAAATGAGAGGAAGTTGGAGGAAGGGAAACTAGATAGACCTCTGGAATAATCTAGGGAAGAATTTTCTTCTGTTTTTTGGTCTAGTCCCAAGTTAGTCAGAAGAAGTTAAAGATAAAGACAAAGCAAAAAGTGTGGAGTAAATGAAAAGGAAGACTGAACAGAATTTAGTGATTGATTAGCTAAGAAAAACCAGGGAAAGAGTAAAAGATGATTGCAAGGCTTCAGGCTCGAGTGCCCACAGAATTCTCGTAGTATCGATACAAGGCAAGCCTTTCTCTCCCACGCCACAGCTTTGCTTTCTCAGCCCATTGCTCCCCTGACATCTTTCGATGGTTGGATGCTTTTTCAATTTCATTCACTAGCTCAGTGACTGCTGTGCAGGTCTGGCACTTTGTCTTTCTCCAGAACGCCTTGTCATAACCACAGTGGATTTAGTTGAATTTAGAACCTTCACAGTTTTGAAGTCACCAACTTCACTTGCACATTGGTTTTGAATATACCTGTCTAGTTGCTTCTGCATGTTATTTTCATTTCTAGACTTCATTGATGTCTCTGGAAAGAATCCAGGACCTTCACCTCTATTTAGGGACATGGATAGAATCTTACCCTTCTTACAGTTAATATTGTGTTTGGAAGAAATTGTTCTTCTGAGTTCTCCATATCTATTTTCTCTTCTGTTTAAAATATGAAACAAGATTTTAGGTGTCATATCTTAAACAAACGAATAAACTGAACCCAGCTCAAGCTTCTGACTTTTCTGTTCCTTACAAATAGTTATTTCTATTCTGACAATGAAGACAATTGAAGAATTCTAGTGGGAAACTTAGCACTTAGTTGAGTGGAAGGATCTTCCCACCACGATTACCTGCCTTTACTACAAGTAGCAACAGGTGGAACTGAGTTCACAGTTCTTTGGTTTTCTTTCCTTTTTTCCTTTTCCTTTTTCTTGACTTTATTTTCCTAATTATTAAAAAGTGGCTTATAGCATGACAAAGAACAGGAATTTGGAAATTGTAGGGGGGCTAGGTAAGCCATTCTCAAGGCACCCCTGACTTTGAGAACAAATGTTTTTCATAGGGAAATGGTTTAACAACTGTATAAAAACTAGTGCTTTGTCACAAACAAATTTGCAGCGCTCTCTACTAGGGAAAATGGCAGCATGCTGACCTGTCCAAACTCATTACTCCTGTGTTGTTGTTACCCAGCGCCCACATCTGTGAGAGAACTGCCCAGACTAGGGGAGAAGAACCAACACCAATGCCTGCCTCGAGATATCTGTCCTGACCTCAGCTTCATTAGCTCCTGAGCTCCTGCTCACAATGTCAATAAGGATAATGTAGATCTGGGAGTAAAAGTTTGACACAAGAGCCTCTACATGTAACCCTCTCTTCCACACTTTCTTTCTGCTGTCACCATGAGAGACAGAGAGAAATAGTACTCCAGTGATGGGAAATTAAATGTCTTTGTGGGGAAAAAGCCATGTTTTAGATTCTTAGTATTTTGATAAGTTGCTGTCCATTTTTTCCAGACTGTGACTATGCTTTGCAGTTATTAAAATCTATTCACAGTGATGAAAAAAAAGGCAGGAACTTCGTCATTGGCTCTCAACTCCCTTTTGATAAGAAATACCTACACACTTTAATTTTATTTACCCCAGTGGTGGCAAAACAACCCTACTTCTTTTTGCATGTGTGTGTAAGTAAATTTCTGCACTTGATTTCTGTGCTGAGAAAATAGCAAGATAAAAAGCTACCTGGACTAGCCTGTTTCGCTGAGTATGGATTTTGGCCGCTGCTTGAAGAGTTTGGCTCCCTGATGAGGGCGCTGGTCTCTCTTGGGTGTGGGTGAAGGAGTCTTAAAGAGGACAGGAATCCCATTTAGACTGCAGACAAAAAGAAACCAGGAAGTAAGGAGAAATTATTACAGTCTGCTCATAGCTCAGGATGGTAAAGGCAATAGCCTTAGCTGCTTGGTTATTCATTAGCAAAAAGGAAAGAGCCGTGGGGGTTAGGACTGGTCAAACTAGTGAGACAGACTTGAAACAGGGAGAACGCTCCTGGGAAAGGCAAGCCGTGAAGATTTTACCTGGAGTTAACATCCTTCCGTGGCTAACTTTTTCTTGGGACAAAAGGCAAGCTGATTCTTTTCTGTCCTCAGATATTTGTTTAAATAAAGCCCTCTTAATTTTCTTTTTGTTGTGGGATTCTTAAACAGACAAGAAGAAAAGGCATCCTTCCCCGAGCCACTGCCCAGCTCTCACTGGGCTTGGCCGGCCTCGGGAGCAGCGGCCAGAGTCACAGAAAGCCAGCCGGTGCCTCCCAGAAGAGATTGCTGAGGTCAGCCGGGAGATTGTGAAACAGGCTTTTGCACACCCTGCAAAGCTTGGTGAGGTGGTGCTGATTTCAAAGTTTCCAGCTGGAAGAAAAGAAGGTGGATCTGCAGAGATTGAGGGGAGAGGGAGAAGCCCCTCTCCCCTCCTTCCCACCTGGGTATCATGGGCAACATATGCCAGCGGATCTGGGCTCGCATGAAATCCTGTCTCCCCTGCTTGTCCCGGGAGGCAGACAAATCGGTGGTGATTGAGAACCCCGGGGCTGGCTGCCCCCCGGAGACTTCCCAGGCACAGAGTCAGGAGCTGACGAGAAGCCATGGCCACTACTTTGTGGCTCTATTTGATTACCAGGCTCGGACGGCAGAGGACCTGAGCTTCCACGCAGGTGACAAGCTCCTAATCTTGGACACTTCCCCCCAGGGCTGGTGGTTTGCCAGGCACTTGGAGAAAAGGGCAGAAGGCTCCAGTTTGCAACTGCAGGGCTACATTCCTTCTAACTATGTGGCGGAGGACAGGAGCCTACAGGCAGAACTGTGAGTAGTACAAACCCACGCTTTGGCGTTTTCCTTCTTACCTGTCTGCAACCTACTAATTTCCAAAAGTTGTTTAGAAAGTAGGAGGAATTATAGTCAAGAACCTTCTAACTGAGCACACCTCCCCTGATAAATAAGAGTGAAATAGGCGAGTAATTGTTGAGTTGACTTCAATAGGAATTTGTACACCCACAGGCCCTGAGAACATTTTCAACATCAACAGATGGTACATTTAATGTTCTATATTTTCTTTTTGTGTAAAGTAAAACATATTTCACTTTAACAAGAGTCATATTTTATTTGCAAATATATCTTAGGTCCCTCTTAAACCACACTTTTAAAATTGAATGCCAGATCTTCCTTTCTTAATAAAAGTTGTTTGAAATATCAATTCTAGCTCTAGCTCTAATGATCATCTTATTTCATTCTGATAGGCATATTCAGGGCTAACAAACAGAAGGTAATCAAGAGAAGATACTAATTTTTTATTATATAGTCCTATGAACTAGGTGTTTTTCTTTAAATCCCTAATCTGGAGCTTTGCTACCCAATTATAGCTTCTGCTTTTTATTAAGACTAGAAACTGGCCAGTTATTTTAACAAAACAAGCAAACAAACAACAACAAAAAAAAACCCAGCAGTTATTTCTCCAGAGGAAGAGATAAAAGACTTTACCTGATTATTAGGGTAAATGATAAGGTTTATAGTGGAACAGAAAAGAAAAATGGTATATACTTATTCACATATACACTCATCCATCTACCCATCCACCCACCCATCCATCCATCCAAGTACCAAGCACAGTAGTAGGCATAGAGAGTGGAGCAGAAGGGCAGTTACAATAATAGTGGTTGAAAATAAAGCAGATAAAGTAGTGCCTTGACAGGGTCTGGTGGTGGAGACTCCAATGATCCTAATCTTGTTGCTGGCTGACTCTGATGAGACCTGAAGTCTCTCAGAAAATGGACTCACTTAATAGAATGAGTCTTCTGTAGAGAAACAGTGAAGATTCACTCATTTACATGTGGAAGTGTTTCTTCTTTTTATGAAAGATATAGCATCTATTAGTCCAGGGAATGTAATGTCAGGAAGTCCTATGGAGCACTGTGGCTTATTTCTAAACTCAAATCCAAGCACAAAAAGAGGTTTGGGGATTTTTGAGATTCTCTCCAACTGCTAGAGCCGGTAAATGTTGCCAAGGGTATAATAGCTAATAGAAATGAAATGAAATCTACTCTTTTGATGAGTGGAACTGATCAGTTGTCAAATGAGAAAATCTCCAGCGTGTACATTCATTTTCTGTGATAACCTGTAGGAATATCTTTATGTCCTCATTGACTGTTTAGTTATATGCATTTATGTTTTTGCTAGTATATATTTTCTACTTAGGGTGGTTTTATGGAAGGTAATATATATTTAGTGTAAAATACATTCTATTTATGTTATAGTATAATATTATTAGGGCCTTGAATTTTCAATCTGTTAGTTTTAAATGTATTCAATTCACTTAACTGCTTTAGGGTCTCATCAGTGTCTGGGTAAGCTTAGACCTCTGGATTTCCTGATGGTCTGGAAACATGATTTCTTAGGTTCCATATGTAGTGGTCCAACTACATTTATACTTGACAAAACAATAAATGTTGAAAAAAGTGAGTGAATAAAAATAAGACAAAAATTCCCAAAGTGGTAACTTTCTGGGTAAAGTATATTTTCACATTTAGATTCTCTTCCTAACAAATGCCAAATCAGGCAACTAAAGCATTGTGACTGTATTTTGATTCTCAGGGGTATCTCTGGCCCTCTGTTTATAGCCCCAGACTTTTCCTCTCGGAACAGCAGTCTTCTCATGTGTTGCTACTGTTGTAGATCACTAGTGTGGCTTCCTTTGGGGTATCCACATTACCGGAATTAAAAACCTGATGTCCAGAAACACTGTC